GCCATTAAGTGTTGGGGTAATTTGCTATACAGCAAAAGATAACTAAAACACCAATATTATCACCATCCCTATTTTATACATGGAGAAAGTCAGGCATAGAGAAGTAAAACTGTCGCTAACATCATTCAGTTGATAAATGGCAGTACCTGGGAAGTACTCTAGAGTCCAGTTCTTCTTCATTGTGTTAGCTTTCATGCAACCACACCATACTGTTCATTCACATGCATTTATTTTATTTATTTTTTTTGAGATAGAGTCTCGCTTTGTTGTCCAGGCTAGAGTGAGTGCCATGGCGTCAACCTAGCTCACAGCAACCTCAAACTCCTGGGCTCAAGCAATCCTCCTGCCTCAGCCTCCCGAGTGGCTGGGACTACAGGCATGTGCCACCATGCCTGGCTAATTTTTTTCTATATATATATATTAGTTGGCTGTTTACTTTCTTTCTATTTATAGTAGAGACAGGGTCTCGCTCTTGCTCAGGCTGGTTTCGAACTCCTGACCTCGAGCAATCTGCCCGCCTTGGCCTCCCAGAGTGTTAGGGTTACAGGCGTGAGCCACCGCACTCGGCCCATTCACATGCATTTAAAACCAACAGAAGGCCTAATTTCTATTTTTGTTGGCATTGTTTTTATTTATTTATTTATTTATTTTAACAAATTGATTTTATTTTTGTTTTGTTTTGTTTTTGAGACAGAGTCGCACTCTGTTGCCACGGCTAGCGAGCCATGGCGTCAACCTAACTCACAGCAACCTCAAACTCCTGGGCTTGAGCAATCATACTGCCTCAGCCTCCCAAGTAGCTGGGACTATAGGCATGTGCCACCATGCCCAGCTAATTTTTTGTATATTTTTAGTTGGCCAATTATTTCTTTCTATTTCTAGTAGAGCTGTGGTCGAACTCCTGACCTTGAGCAATCCGTCCTCCTCGGCCTCCCAGAGTGCTAGGATTACAGGCGTGAGCCACCATGGCCCGCCTGCTGTCATTGTTTTTAGAGACAGGGTCTCCCTATGTTACCCAGGCTGGACTCCTGGGCTCAAGCAATCTTCCTGCCTCAGCCTCCCGGGTAGCTGGGCCTAATTTCCCTTTACACGAACAATAGTTTAGCCATCTATCCTTTTTGTAAGTTAGTTGTTTTTAACCTAGTTGTAGGATTTTGCATTTTTATCTCTTCTCTCATTGTAGATAGCTCAGATTCATTGTTTAGGTTGTCAAAACCTTTTGATTCTTTATTTTGTAATGTAGCTTTTGATTCCAATTTATGTCATCTTAAAATCTCATTAACTCGCCTTCTACATTTTCAGATAATTAATTTTTTATATGTTTACTGGGACTCTCCAGATTGACGTCAATTTTGATGTGTGCGCTATGAATACATACTTCGACCTGCGACTACTAGTTGTACTAATATACAGCCCATATTTTCCTATTGGCTTAAATTCAGATAGTCTATATTTATTATACTGCCAAAGTAATACTCTCCAAAAAAGAGAATGCTTTTAGAATGATGTGTCTAGTTCTTGGTGAACTACGCCAGATACTAGTGATGAGTGATGATCACCACTATGGGTCAGGATCTGATGAAGAAAAGAAAACAGTCTAGGCCAGATAGTTCAACAGAAAAAATTCAACAAAGAACAAAATCACAAACATGATGAAATTGCTGAAACCCAGCCGGGCATGGTAGCTCACACCTGTAATCCTAGCACTCTGGGAGGCCGAGGCAGGAGGATCATTTGAGCTCAGGAGTTTGAGACCAGCCTGAGCAAGAGCAAGACACTGTCTCTCCTAAAAAAAGAAGAGAAACAGCTGAACAACTAAAAAATATGGTTATTTAGTGATAGAAATGAGACATGTAGCCAGGCCATGTGGCCACAGCCGTAGTCCCAGCTACTCAGGAGGCTGAGGCAGGAGTATCACTTGAGCCCAGGAGTTTGAGGTTGCTATGAGCCAGGCTGACGCCACCACACTCTAGCCCAGGCAACAGAGTGAGACTCTGTCTCAAAAATAAAAAAAGAAAAAAAAATTGCTGAAAACCAAAAGGGAGATGGTGAGGTAGTCCAGAGATTAGCAACAACAGGAAGCCGGAGGAGTCAAGGGGGGAGGTAGTGTCACCAGAGCCTAAAGGCTGGGCTGGCTACCCACAGGAGCTAGAACCACAGAAGATGCATAGCTCCTGCTGTAGACAAAGCTGAAGCTGGGGGAATAGAGCATATCCTGCCTTCTCCTTCCCACTTCTCCTGCAGTCTCCCATTAGTGCCTCCTGCTAGTGGAACCTAGCCCAAAGTCACTTGGCAAGGGAACTTGGGAAATGTAGTTTGCAGGAAGGGGCAAGAAAATGAATCTGAGAGTAGACAGGTACTATTCTAGAATAGAATAGCATCTATTCTAGAAATTAGCCAGGTGTTAGTCTTTGCTCCGAAGATTCTAGAATCTACCATGTTTAACAGCAAGGACTCTGATCCAGACAGCTTGACTCAAGTCTTGGCTCTGGCATGCCAGTAGTTTGATCTGAGCAAGTAGCCCAAATTGTTTATGACTCAGTTTCCTCAATTAAAAAATGAGGACAAAAATAACACCTACTTCCTAGAGGTGTGGTGAGGATCAAATGAGATAATGCATATGAAGAGCTTAGGACAGTGCCTAGCATATAGTGAAAAGCTAGGCATTATAATTTAAGAAACTAAACATCTGCCTTTTTTCCATTACTTCCACTATCTTTCATAATTCCTCAAAAATTTCCAAGAATGTTTCCACAGGCCCATTCCCAAAGGTACTTGATGGTCTAGGATATGATTTATATGGGCCTGTACACTTAAATTTTCTAAACTAATTAAAGCTTAAACTCATTAAGTATCTAGATCCTCTTTAATTTTTTTCTCATCTTTTTTTGGCTTGAATTCACTCTTAAATATTAACTCCCAGTGTTTGCCACAGTGCCTTGCGCTTAAAAGGCACTCAAATATTTATAGAGTGAAAGTTTGTTCTACCCTGGTGCCATTTCTTCTTCTGATGATGATTGCTCCCAACAGCATAGGTCTTGGTTTTATTTTTTGCAAATTTCAGTTTATTCAGCATCCCAGACCATGGGTTCATTTCCCCACAATTCTTCCCATCTCACCACCACCTCTCCTGCTTCCTTTCCAAATTTCCTACTTCCCCACATGCCCACTCCCACAGGTATGCCCCATAGTTGCCTGGCATTTTTAATCTATGTATCTGACCTTTCTTGCCAACTACACTGTAAGCTCTTTGAAGCTAAAATGAAGTCTGAAGAGTTTCAGGCATCCACCAAATACCCAGCACCAAGAACATAGCTGGCGCTCAACTAAAACCTCCATGACCATTTTTGGGACCTAAACATTTTCAATTTCCCCAATCTCTTTATCCTGCTTCCTTTTGTGCCCTTCTCCCACCGTCAGAGTTCTATCTGATCCTCTCATTAATCCATAAGGGTTGTAGTAGGGAGCACAAAGAGTTAGGGCATGGGACCAAAGACTAAGTGGGAAAAGGGCCTTTTTATGGCCAACTCTATGGCTTCAGGCCCAGCTTGAGGCCCTATAGCAATAAATGTCACTAACAGAAAACTGGTTTGTACCAGTTGAAGGGAGAAAGCAGTAAGGATCAGAATGTGTGCTTTGTCAGAGCTAGTTGCCTGGGTTCAAACCATAGCTTCACTCTGTATAGTTGTCCCAATACCAATCTGCAGGATATTAGTTCCAGGACTCCCACAGATTCCAAAATCCTGATGCTCAAGTCCCTTATATAAAATAGTGTTGTATTTGCATATAACCTATGCACATCTTCCCATATACTTTATTTTTTGTTTTGTTTTGTTTTTTATTTTAGCGTATTATGGGGGTACAAGTGTTAAGGTTACATATATTGCCCATGCTCCCCTTCCCCCAATATACTTTAAATCATCTCTAGATTATAATACCTAACACAGTGTAAACGTTATATAAATAGTCATTATACTGTATTGTTTAGGGGTTAATGACAAGGAAACAAAGTCTGTACATCTTCAGTTCAGACACAATTTCCAGCCTCTTCCCCCTAATGTTTTGAACTCTGGTTAAATCCATGGGTGCAGAACTCGCAGATACAGAGCGCCCACTGTACTAGATCTTGGGCAAAATACCAAACTTTTCTGTGCCTACATTTCCTTATCTGTAAAATGGGAGGAGTGGCAATAGTATCTACTTCACAGGGTGGTTGAGAGGATTAAATGAGCAATACTTGTGAAATATTAACTATTTAGTATTTACTAAAGTACTTACTAAATATTTGGTAAAGTGCTTACTTAGATCTGTACCTGAAGTGTGGAAAAAGCTCAAAAAGTGTTTGCTTGTAGTTGTTATTGGTTATTAATATTACCTATCAGTGCCACAAGAAATCAGTAACCCCAAGCTCACATAAATTAGAACTGATAATAATAGTTGCTACCAGATATGGAGCGCTTCTTATAGGCAATGTGCTTAGTGCTCAACTTGTATTATTTCCCTAAATATTTGCGACAACCTTAAGAAGGAGTCGCACTATCATAAACTGCATTTTATAATTGAGAAGCACAGAGAGGTTAAGGAATTTTCTCAAGGTTACATAGCCAGCAAGTCGAGAGGGTCTATTTATTCATTTATTTACCATTTATTGAGTTCTTACAGTGTCTCAGCAGGAGACAAGCCCTGTGGGTACAAAGGTAAACAGTCAAGGCCCTAGCCTACGGGAAGTTTCAGCTACCAGAAGGGGCGGGCGGGGGCGGGAATGACGAATAAACAAATAGTTACCATACCGCGTGGTAATTGCTAGAATAAAGGCTCACTACCGAAAGGGCTACCGGATCTCAAGACACTGGGACAAGAAAAGTACCGAGAGCTTAAGGGTCCAAAGGAAAGACATGACAGCTACGGAATAAGCAGATGTCATTTGACAAACGTTACAAATGTGTCCTGTAACAACAAATGTGTCACGCCCAAAAGACTAAACAAAGCAGAGTTAAAAGTGGAAGCCGAAGCTGCACGTCAAGCGCCCGTCTGACGAGTCCGGGCAGGACCGGAAAGGGGTTAAGGCGAGCAGGTGGGCGGGGCGCGTGCGGTGACTGACAGGGGTGGGACCAGGCTCGTCACCCGCCCTCTCCCTCCGCCCCGGCTGCTCCAACCCCTGGGCGGGCGGGGGTACCGCCTGGGCAAGGGCCGGGGCGCTGGGCCGAGTCGCCTCTTCCCCTCCCCCGCTCCCCTGCCGCGTTCCGCCGGCTGGTCGCGCTGGAGAAGTTGAGCAGCGCGGGGGCCGGCCCTGGGGGCTGACAGTCGGCAAAGTTTGGCCCGAAGAGGAAGTGGCCTCCAGCCCCGGCAGGTGGCGGCCAGGCCGGGACAGGGGCGCTTGCGGCCTGCGGGCTGGCTGTAGGCGAGGGTGCCCCCAGCACCCGGCCCCGAGCCGAGTCCCGGGGCTTCGGGAGCCGAGCCCGGGAGGGAGCGCGGCGGCGGCGGGAGAAAACAACTCTGAAGTTGGCGAGAGGCACCGCCCCTACTCCCGGGCCGCCGCCGCCTCCCAGCCCCCAGCCCTGGCATCCGGAGCACGGGTCGAGCTCGGGCCATGCAGCCCCCTAGGGGAGGCGGCACCGGGGAGCCTGGATGCCCGCAGCGCCGCTGCCTCCCCACTGGGTAGACGACCGAGGCTCCGGGACTCTTCCTGCACCTCCCGACGGCCCAGGATGCTGCCGGCCATCCTCCTCCTTCTCCTCCTTGGTAAGAACCGAGACGAGAGTACCCACCGGCACCCCGCCCCCAGGGCTGTCACCAGGCCCTGCCGCTCTGACTGCCTACTTTGCGACCGCTCACCCCACCCTGTCTGCCCTTGCCCCCCAGCCCCTGCCGCCGCACCCCCGCTGCCTGCCCCCAGCCGCAGCCCCGGGGTAAGTCCCCAGCTGCTCCGCGCAGCCCTCGTCCTCCCTCCAGCTTCCCCAGATCACTCTGCTGCTGGACCTTCCTTGGAGGTTACACACCGCAGCCTTCTCCCTGACTCCCCTCCACCCCATCTTCTTACAAACTGCCCGGAAGTCCCAGATGGCTTCCTTCCTTGAGTTCAGGTGAAGAAAACTCCTAAGGGTGACTCACTCTTTGCCCTCTCTCGCTCTTCCTCTAGGGGGCGCTCTGGCACATCCAGACCGGATCATTTTCCCAAATCCTGGTGAGTAGAGGGAAGCCCTGGGGCTCTGCAGGCTTAGGAATAAGGGGGCACTCAAGAGAAGGAATGACACTTACCTGAATTCCATGGGACATACCATAGTTTTAAAGTGGAAATCATCCATCCTTTACTTATTTATTTATTTATTTATTTTTTGAGACAGAGTCTCACTTTGTTGCCCAGGCTAGAGTGAGTGCCCTGGCGTCAGCCTGGCTCACAGCAACCTCAATCTCCGGGGCTCAGCGATCCTTCTGCCTCAGCCTCCCGAGTAGCTGGGACTACAGGCATGCACTACCATGCCCGGCTAATTTTTTCTATATATATATGTTAGTTGGCCAATTAATTTCTTTTCTATTTATAGTAGAGACGGGGTCTCGCTCTTGCTCAGGCTGGTTTCGAACTCCTGACCTTGAGCAATCCGCCCACCTCGGCCTCCCAGAGAGCTAGGATTACAGGTGTGAGCCACCCCGCCCAGCCCACCATCCTTTATTTTACAGGTGGGGAAATGGGAGCTCAGTGTGGACCCTCACCTGGTAGCTGCTATGTGCTATTTCGGTTTTTCCTGGAATAGCCATGCTTGGTCTCCCTAGCCAGAATGTAGTCTCCTTGAAGGTAGAGACAGTATTTCCTGCTCCTCCTGGCCTAGTGGCTTACACAAAGCAGACCTCAGAATTGTTTGTGGTATTAATAGTTAAGGAGAAGCTAGGAAGAGTGTGGAGAAGAACAGAGGGGCTAAAAGGCTGTAATTCTGGGCGTGTGTATGTGTGTGTGTGTGTGTGTGTGTGTGTGTGTGTGTGTGGAGCATGGGTGCTCTGCTCCTTCTTCAAGAGCCCAGGCCCTTGGAGGCCTCAAGCCTGGGGTGGGTGGGATGCTAAGGGGCTCTTTACTAGTGTCCCTACCTTCTTCTCTAGCTTGTGAGGACCCTCCAGCGGTGCTATTGGAAGTGCAGGGTACCCTGCAGAGGCCCCTGGGCAGAGACAGCCGCAGCTCCCCTGCCAACTGCACCTGGCTCATCCTGGGCAGCAAGGAGCAGACGGTAACAGTCAGGTGAGAAGCAGGGCAAGAGCCCATTCCTCTCCTCTGCCCTTCCCCCTCCACATGGAAAAGTCTTCCAGGATGACTTCTCCATGGAATTTCCATCCTTGTCAACAGGGAAGAGGAGAATTTGATTTTGCCTAGTCTGCCCTAAAAGCTTGACTTGTTCTGGGCCAGACATGGTGAATTGGAGCTGGGCTGGGGTGGACATCTAGCTTGGGTCCTTGGCATCTCCAAAGGACAGTGGTCCCTCTAGAAACAGTCCTGGGCTCAGCTAGGACTGTTTTGAGGAGTCCTTGGATCCACTGCATGTCCCTGCCTGGGATTCACAACTATTCCTTAATCAGCTTAGAACATTCTTCAGCCTTCTCAGATTTTTTAACATTCCAAGTCTCCCTAAGCTCTTCTGACCTTGGGTCACGGGGTTGGGGGTCCATGTTAAATACCTGGCTATTTGCCTCACACAGTTCATTTCCTGTGAATTCACCCAGAAACGGGTAGGTGAAGAGAGAGGGTAATCTGGGAAGGGGCTCTTAGGGCAGAGGGGTCAGAATGCCAAGGGGAACCCAGGTCTCACCACCTGGCACTGTGGGGAGTGTGAGTTCTGGTTAATTGAACCATACGGTAATTGCCAGTTACTCCTGGTGCTATACTTGGGTGACAGTGCTGCAGCAATTGGAAAGCAAGAAATCTGTTCTTAATTCAGTCCCTGAACACAAGTCTGTTTTTCCAAAGGGCTCTAGGATGTATCTTTTGGTCCTATGGTACCACTGGCCTATGTTGGGACTATCTCCATTGACTGCATTGCCTACAAAAGAATTTGGTTAACTGAGTTTTTATTTAGCTATTCGGATCATGGATAAGCAGATATTTGTGCTTCTTGGGACAGAGGGGGGTTTGGTGGCACTTGAGGAGGGGGAAGCCAGTGGTGGTCAAGAACATCTCCTATCTTGCTCTCTACTTCTGTAGGTTCCAGAAGCTGCACCTGGCCTGTGGCTCAGAGCGCTTAATCCTGCACTCCCCTCTCCAGCCACTGATCTCTCTATGTGAGGCACCTGCCAGCCCTCTGCAGCTGCCTGGGGGCAATGTCACCATCACCTACAGCTATGCTGGGGCCAGAGCACCCATGGGCCAGGGCTTCCTGCTCTCCTACAGCCAAGGTAGGCTAGACCTAAGCCAAGGTAGTCTCTCCTACAGCCAAGGTAGTCTGAGTGGCAGTGGAAGCCCAGAGAGGAGAGGAGGAGCCTGAGGGCTCTGGCGCTCACAGCCACTCTCCCTGGTGCCTCCGCAGATTGGCTGATGTGCCTGCAGAATGAGTTCCAGTGCCTGAACCACCGCTGTGTACCTGCTACCCAGCGCTGTGATGGGATCGATGCCTGTGGCGACGGTTCTGATGAAGCAGGTTGCAGTTCAGACCCCTTCCCTGGCCTGACCCCAGGCCCCGTCCGTACCCTGCCCTGCAATCACACCTTGGAGGACTTCTATGGGGTCTTCTCCTCCCCCGGATACTCACACCTGTTTTCAGTCTCCCACCCCCAGTCCTGCCACTGGCTGCTGGACCCCCACGATGGCCGGCGGCTGGCAGTGCGCTTCACAGCCCTGGACTTGGGCTACGGCGATGCAGTGCATGTGTATGATGGCCCCGGGCCCCCTGAGGCCTCCCGGTTGCTGCGTAGTCTCACCCACTTCAGCAATGGCAAGGCCGTCACTGTAGAGACGCTGTCTGGCCAGGCTGTTGTGGCTTACCGCACAGTTGCTTGGAGCAATGGTCGGGGCTTCAACGCCACCTACCATGTGCAGGGCTACTGCTTGCCTTGGGACCGACCTTGTGGCTTAGGCTCTGGCCTGGGTGCTGGTGAAGGCCTTGGTGAACGCTGCTACAGTGAGGCACAGCGCTGCGACGGCTCATGGGACTGTGCTGATGGCACAGATGAGGAGAACTGCCCCAGCTGCCCACCCGGACACTTCCCCTGCGGGGCTGCTGGCACCCCCGGTGCCACAGCCTGCTACCTGCCTGCTGACCGCTGCAACTACCAGACCTTCTGTGCCGATGGAGCCGACGAGAGACGCTGCCGGCACTGCCAGCCTGGCAACTTCCGATGCCGGGATGAGAAGTGTGTGTACGAGACGTGGGTGTGTGACGGGCAGCCAGACTGCGCGGACGGCAGCGATGAATGGGACTGCTCCTATGCCCTGCCCCGCAAGGTCATTACAGCTGCAGTCATTGGCAGCCTGGTGTGCGGCCTGCTACTGGTCATCGCCCTGGGCTGCACCTGCAAGCTCTATGCCATTCGCACCCAGGAGTACAGGTCAGTGGGAGTGGGGCTGGCGGTAGAGTGGGGACTGAGGTGGAGACACGGCCTGTGCGGCCATAGGGGACCATGAGGGTGCCCACCTTGGCGAGAAGTTCTGTGACCAGCTTGTTGAATGGCTCGTGGAAGGACAGGTCTAGATCCTGCAAGCGATCTCAAGGAAAAAGGGACTTCAGATGACCTTTGGGAAAACCCTGGCGTAGCTCTAGCTGTCCTGGCCTGGGTGTGGAGAGAGGAGGCCTGTCCAGGCTGGTTCGGCTCTGGCTGGGACCTACCAGTGACTGAGCCACCCTCATTCCTTCTAGCATCTTTGCCCCCCTCTCCCGGATGGAGGCCGAGATTGTGCACCAGCAGGCACCCCCCTCCTATGGGCAGCTCATTGCCCAGGGCGCCATCCCACCTGTAGAAGACTTCCCTACGGAGAATCCTAATGATGTAAGTGACTCCCTCCAACCTTAGCACCTCCTGGCCCCAACCCTACCATAGCCCTGCCACTGGACCCTCCTTCAGCCTTCTGGCCCTCTGACTCTGGTGTCTGCCTCCTCCCCTTGCAGAACTCAGTGCTGGGCAACCTGCGTTCTCTGCTGCAGATCCTGCGCCAGGACATGACTCCAGGAGGTGCCTCAGGTGCTCGACGCCGGCAGCGGGGCCGCCTGGTGCGTCGCCTGGTGCGCCGCCTCCGCCGCTGGGGCCTGCTTCCAAGAACCAACCCCTCGGCTCGGGCCTCTGAGACTAGATCCCAGGCCACCCCTTCTGCTGCCCCCCTTGAGGCCCTGGATGGCAGCACAGGCCCAGCCCGTGAGGGCGGGGCAGTGGGAGGGCAGGATGGGGAGCAGGCACCTCCACTGCCTGTCAAAGCCCCCCTGCCATCTGTCAGCACGTCTCCAGCCCTCCCTGCTGTCCCCGAGGCCCCAGGGCCACTGCCCTCACTCCCCCTTGAGCCATCACTGTTGTCTGGAGTGGTACAGGCCCTGAGAGGCCGCCTCCTGCCCAGCCTGGGGCCCTCAGGACCAACCCGGACCCCACCTGGACCCCACACAGCAGTCCTGGCCCCAGAGGACGAGGACGATGTGCTGCTGGTGCCATTGGCTGAGCCAGGGGTGTGGGTGGTGGAGGCAGAGGATGAGCCCTTGCTTGCCTGAGAGGACCTGGTTCCCCTGGGGGCTCTAGTCACAGCCCACTAGAGGGTGCCTCAGCTTCTCCACCACTTCCTTCCCTGTCCCTTGGTCTGAGGGGACTTGGTAGGCCTCCCATTGACCCTGTGTAGCTGCTGTAAAGCTAGATGTCCCTCAGGCAGGTAGAGGGCTTACACAGAGTCCCCTCTGTGCATGACAGAGACCATAGACCCTCCACTACCACCCTCTGCGCACACCACCACCATTCAAGTGGTGGTTTTTAAAAAGTAAAGTTCGTAAAGGATCACAGGCCTGGACACTCCATCCTTGCCAAATCCCCACCCAAAAGTGGCCTTAAGCACCAGAATGCCCATTGGCTAGAGACCCTCCAGCCCTCTGGGAGGATTTGGGCAGGACCTGAGGTTCTGCCAACCTCCTATAGGGCCTGGCTCACAAAAGAGCGAAACAAATGCTTTTGTCCCATAGCTAGGCCATTGCCCAGGAAGTAGAGATAAAAAATAAAGGAATCATAAATTTAAAAATTTTGTGAGTTAGCTGTGAGCCTGAGCCCTGCCTCTCCACCCTTCTCAGCTTATGCTCATCTCATCTTGCTCCTCCAGGTGGAGGCCTTTGCTCGGCCCTCTACCTCCTGCCCTCTTCCTATTCAAATTCCCACCACCCCCCTGTTGATCTTATACCACTCAGAAGGTAAGAAGATTCTGGGAGCCCTACAGACCAACCCTCTCCACCTGCACTCACCGCTTGGGGCCCGGCTCTACAGTGGCTGACAGGAAGGGGAACACCAAGCCCCTTTACTCACTGCCAGGCTGGAGGGCAGAGAAGGCAGCTGGGCCCTGCAGCAGGGAAGGTTCCCATTTATAGAGCACAGATCATAGGAGCAGACTGTCTCTGGTGGAGCACAGGAGCCATAACTCCCTGCCCTCAGCCCTCCACCCCACCAGGCACTTAACAGTCTGTCTTATGCAAGACAAATGGACTCTGAGCCAGGATGCCAAGGAGCAGGCAAAGATGAGTGGAGGGAGCAATCAGAAACACTCAGGGTGTGACGGTGGTGCCCATGGATTCTAAAGAATGCTGTAGCTGTGAATTCTAGGCAGGGTGAGAGTCCACAGGACAAGCAAACTATAGAGACATGAGGGCTAGAGCTGCAGGCTAGACCTTTGACTGCCTGAGAAGAGGTGGTGGGAGCACGGGCAGTGGCCAGAGCCAGAGGGCTGGGCAGGGTGATGGAGGAGGGAAAGATCTGGGAGAAATGTTAGAACCCAGCTTCTGGTGAGCAACCCAGCTTCCGGTGACAGAAGCTACCCTGGAGTTTGAAAGGAAAATAGGGACAAAGGCTACAGAAGGAGCCTGTGGGGCTGGAAGTGACGCCTGGGGAGCAAACTGAGGCATCCCTGACAGAGCCAGGCCCCAGGGAAGCAGAGGTCCCTCAGCCTCCTTGCCTGGCCCAGCCTAACCTCGCAGCTCAGGTGGAGGGTTGATTACACTCTGTCCACATCCTGGAACCTAGCACTGTTGTGTGGTTTTCCTCTCCCCTACTGATCAGGAACCTGGGGAAGGAACAGAGAAGGGGTGTGGACCCATGTGCGGTCCTGGGACCCTGGCATCTTGGCTTAGTGAAGACCTGGGTTCCTTTCACCACAGAGCCTTTCCAGAGATCGGGGAAGGTGCTTCAGAGAACCTTGCATACTGTCCTCCCTTTGGGCCCTCCTTCCCAAGTGCAAATGGTCCCTGGGTACACCCAGTGTCAGGCCCAGTGAAAACAGTGAAGCAGGGGATGTTGGCTCTCCCACCCCCACCTTGCTTGTTTCTTCCCCCACAGTCACCTCAAAGACCTTAAGCCTGATATCTTCATCCCTTGTCCTGTTCCAGACTTATTCCCTCCTGTGGGGTATTTTCAGCTTGAAAGTGGACAAAGATTTAAGGTAAAAGAATGTTCCTCATGGTGGAATGCTTCAGAAAGCTGGAGGGAGGCCTGTGCTTATAGATTAGTGGGCCTGAAAGAAGTTTCTGTAGGTGCTGCGTGTGTGCTGTGTGAGGTGCAAACAGTAATACTAATTTGTCAGCCACAGTGAAGCCCCAGGTCAGCAGGGAGAGGAACTTCAGAGAGTACAGGCAGTATGGGGAACTAAGGGGGTCCTGCCCAAGTGAGGGTCCTAGGGAGCAGTCACTCAAGTTTATTTTCACCAGGGCCCAAGGAAAAAGAAATGAGAAAACTTACAGTTCTGTCCAGATAGACACCACTATCCAAGGTTTTTAGTGGGTATGAGGGAGGTGTTCTCAGCAAGAGATGGGGACCAGGCTATTAATCAGTCTGAGATAATGGAAGATACCAGGATTCAGTCCTCAGGGAGCAAAATTCTGGGCCTAAACTGAGCTCCAAGCCCTGCTGGGAGGGGGCAGGTACTCCCAGCCACATGGCCTGAGGCTGTGGGAGCCTCCAAGTGGCTGAAGAGTTAGGCTCCTGCTGAGTGCCAGACCTTTATCACCCGTAGTTAACCCACAACAAAGCCGTGCCACTGGCTTTCTCAACCTCATTTCACAGGTTCAGGAGGAGCTTCATAGAAACTATGGGATTGGCCCAGTCTCCACTGAGTGGCAGATTTAGACCTGGCTTGGTTTGGTTCCAAATCTTTCCCTTGTCCCATTATCCCACAGGACCTCCCCTTCCTGAGGGAGCCTGGACGTGTTCCAGACATGTCCAGCAGAAGACCATTTCCAGCCTCCTCTTCCTAGAGGGAGGTTGTTCAAGGTGAAACTCAGGCTGCTTATGTGGATTGAGAGCAGGCAGAAGTCACAAGTCACAGTAGAGAATTGTTGCTGGGGTCTGCAGCCCCTCAGTCTTACCTGGTATTGTAGAAGAATCTAACCACCTAAGTGAGTTTTCCAGATACATAAAATGTACTCATTTACAGTTTAAAACTTAGAAAAAAAAAAGCTCTCATTTTGGAAGGAAATCATTTCTAAAATGTTACACTCATCTTCAGCATATCTGCAATATAAAATGTTCTGAATAGGCCTGGCGAGGTGGCTCACGCCTGTAATCCTAGCACTTTGGGAGGCCGAGGCGGGCGGATTGCTCAAGGTCAGGAGTTCAAAACCAGCCTGAGTGAGACCCCGTCTCTACCAAAAATAGAAATAAATTAATTGACCAACTAAAAATATATATACAAAAAATTAGCCGGGCATGGTGGCGCATGCCTGTAGTCCCAGCTACTCGGGAGGCTGAGGCAGTAGGATCGCTGAGCCCCGGAGATTGAGGTTGCTGTGAGCCAGGCTGACGCCACGGCACTCACTCTAGCCTGGGCAACAAAGTGAGACTCTGTCTCAAAAAAAATAAAATAAAATAAAATAAAATGTTCTGAATAGCTGAGGATCATTCATAGAAACCAATGGCTTTTCTGCAGCAGTGTCTTCAGAAGCTGTAATAGTGGAGGTAGGGGAGCTCTTTGCTTTTATGCTAAATAACCTTAGACTGCCACCCCCACCCCACACACCTCATTTAAAATATTTATGACCCCTACAATATGCTGAAATTAAAAAAATAAAATAAAATACTTATGACTGCTTTACTATGTTTGTTTATTTGTTTTTTGGTGTTGCCTCCCTTGCTACCAGGCTGTCGGGTCACTTGCTGCTCTAAATGTGCTTCTAATCTACAGTACAGGAACGCACATGAACACAGTAACATGGTGAAAAGTAAGGGTAAGTAGGCCATGGTTGAGGACTGGAGAGTCTATCCAATGAGTACAGCACATGAGTGTGTTAGCTGCTCAGGAGTTCTTTCTGTTCCCTCCAGACCCTGCACTGTTGCCCTGTAGTTCACCTCCAGATATGTGAAGTGTCGCTGCATAGTATTCCCAGGATTACTATTTGCCTCTTTCATTGGAAAAGTCCACTGAGGATTGCAATATAAACTGTTCCCAATAATAGAAGACAGTTGGAACATTTAAAAGAAGGAAATCAGCATAGTGTAGAAATGAAAAGCAGTCTTTCATGAGGCTCTGTCTCAAAAAAAATAAATAAAAGTGAAAATCAGTCTATGGCAGTGAAAAGATATGGGTGACATTCCTGGTGTTCCCATTTTCCAGCTGCATGATTGCTTTGGGGACAGGCCCCCCACCCACCACTGTGAGCTGTAGGGTCATGAAGATAAAAGGAGATCATGCAGGACAGTGCTTAGCACAGCACCTGGCAAAAATGGGGCAAAGAAAGGAAATCAGAGTGTGTTTGGATGATTGAGGGTGTCAGGAAGGAGGGGTACAAGAGTGGGAACCTGAGGAGAAAAGGAACTAGACAGAAAAGGAATAGTAAAGGAGATGCTCCAGCTGGTCTTCCTACAAAGAGGCAGACATCATCCATTGTGCGTGTGCCTTGGGTAGCCCAGAAGGCCTGGCAGCTGCCCCAAAGAGCACTGGTGGGAGGTGGGGAGGGGGGTGGCTGGCACTCCCCACCCCTCACTCAAGATTGGGAACTCCTTTGAGATGGCTAGCCTTATCTATCCCTTTTTTCCTACTCTAATTAACACTGGCTGGGGGGCCTGGAGGGACAGAGAGAAGGTGAAGGGATCCCCACAGTGGTTTGCACCTACCTGAACATAGTGGTGAAATGAAGCTGCCCACACAAAGCAGCCTATTTCCTTCCTAGGAGCCCCCAACTGCCTAGGGGCTAGGAAATGGGTACTTTGGTAGCTTTTAGCCCAGAAAAGGCAGGGTGGCTGTCCTGCTGTCCCCACACCTCTTTTCTTTCAGATCAGCTTTTAGCCTTACTGCCTCATCCCTCTTTTTAGCCACTGAACACCCCTTCTGGGCTGGACACTGGACTAGGTGGCTAGAAACATAGATACAAGTAACCCAGAGTCCTGGCTCCTGGAGAAAGACTTCAGCTCCTCTAGGTCCCTGCCTCCTGCCATCCTCAGCTCCCTTACTCACTGACACCCCCTCAACCCCTGTCAGTTCTGGCCCTCTGACTTTGTTCTGTCATGCCTTAACCAGGCTCCGCAGTGTGTGCTCCCAGAGGGAAGCGACACAAAGGAAAGGGGGGGGGACAGAAAGGAGGGAATCCCGCTGACATCACTGCTCATTAGCATGTGTGACCTCATCAGGGGGTGGGACAATTTCCCCAGGTGTCTGGGGGGAGGGCGTTTGTGTGTGTGGGGGGGTGGTATTTAAAGGAAAAAGCTGACAGTGCTGCTGAGTGAGGGAGCGGGTGCTGCGAGCCGCCGGGCTGCACACGCACACCGATGCACACGGAGCCCGACACCGACATGGACACGGACACAGAAACCACAGCACTCTGCCCCTCTGGCAGCCACCAGGCCTCCCCCCCAGGGACACCCACACCAGGTGAGGGCTAACCTGGGCAGGTTCGGGCTGAAAACTATGGGGGTGGGCGCCAAAGCTATGATGGGAGGTCTGAACTAGGGGTTGAAAGAGCTTGAACCCAATCAGCAAGAGGGGAAGAGCAAGTCAGGAAGTAGAGAAGACCCCTCCTCACATAAGGACTGGGGCTGGGTTAGGGTGGAGGGGGAGAGGAGCTGCCTAAGTGCCCCCTCCCCCATCACTCCCAGGGGTTTGCTTGAGAAAGTGTACCTGGTCCCTAGATCAGCCTCATTCCCAAGGGCTGGGACAGGCCGGAGGGAAGGGGAGGAGAGGGGCAGCCTACAAACCTGGGAATCAGGGCAGGGGGCTACCCGGGGGACCTGTTGTAAGGGTTTCTTCTGGCTCCGGGGAGGCCCTGGCTGCCAGCCAAGTATTGATCCTGGGCTATTTCCAGCCTCTCTCCATCCCCCTTTGTTGTGTCTGTTGTTCCTCCTCCAGTTACCCTGACCCATGCATTGTCACTCTCCTTTTCGCTCAGCTCACTCAGGCACACTCTCTCTCTACCTCTACCTCTCGGAGAACACAATATTCTCTCCCACTCACAGGGACTGCCAGGGATGCAGGATTTTCACGCAGCCATGTGGGGGGGGATGCTCACCTACAGGGCCCCAGGAAGCAACAGCCCCTCTCACCACCCCCCTAGAGACCAAACACAATCATCCCAGAGAGCAAGAGCCCTGTCCTTTTGCTAGGAACAGGCTCCCCACAAAGTTTCTGACTCTGCCAGTATCTACCTACTCCTCAGAAGCTGGACAGCAGCTTGTTTCTTATCCCCTCTGCCCCTCCTAGGTGTGGGGAGTACCAGTGCAGGAAGCTAGAGGAGGCAGGGCCTCTTGGTGGAAGGAGGGGCAGCCTCCCCCCACCCCAAGGGCCAGAGTCCTAGTCTAGGGGTGTGCCTGTGTGTCGGTGTAAACTGTGAGTGGGTGTGTGAGCCTGTGTACAGATGCCTCTCCTGCATGGGGCATGTTTTGAAACAGGTTGTGGCTGGGACCACACTGGGAAAGCCATCATGTCATCTCCACAGAGGCTCACCAGTTCAGGCTTCTGGGGAGTTTAGTGTAAGAGGTCATGCCAAAGAAGATTCTCAGTTCCTTTAGGGTCCTAGTCATAGACTGGGTGTGGCTGGGCCTCTGAAGCCAAAGCAGCCTGGATTTAGCCGTCTGCAGATGGCTGGACGTACCCAACTCATAGCCTCCTTTTCTTTGCTCCTCCCTTCCCAGAAGCAGATGCCACACTGCCGAAGAAACCAGAGAAACTGTTGGCAGGGTTCGATCGGGGTGGGCCACCCTCTGCCCCAGGAGCCCCCAGACGAAGAGGCAGTATGCCTGTCCCCTACAAGCACCAGCTCCGGCGGGCCCAGGCTGTAGATGAACTTGACTGGCCACCTCAGGCTTCATCCTCTGGCTCCTCGGACTCCTTGGGCTCAGGGGAGGCAGCCCCTGCCCAAAACGATGGCATCTTCAAGGTCATGTTGGTTGGGGAGAGCGGCGTGGGCAAGAGCACCCTGGCAGGCACTTTTGGCGGTCTCCAGGGAGACAGTGCTCATGAGCCAGAGAACCCAGGTATTTGAGGAAGCTTTGTGTGGGTCAAGAGGGCTCTGGGTCCTAGTCAGGGATGGAAGTGCTTGTGACAAGAGCAGCCCCTGCCAGTGTGGTGGCTCACGCCTGTAATCCTAGCACTCTAGGAGGCCAAGGAGGGAGGAATGCCTGAGCTCAGGAGTTTAAGACCAGCCTGAGCAAGGGCAAGACCCTGTCTCTACAAAAAATTAGCCAGGTGTGTGGTGTGCGCCTGTAGTCCTAGCTGCTTGGGAGGCTGGGGCAGAAGGATCACCTGAGCCCAGGAGTTGAAGGTTGCAATGAGCTATAATGGCGCCACTGCACTCTACCCAGAGCAACAAAGACTGTCTCAAAAAATGGGCAGCCCCTGAAGGACAGAAGCTAAGAGAGGCTTCTCCAGTGCTTTCTATTAAAGCCCCTCTGGAGGGGGATGAGGGCTCTCTGGGGCTGAGATTTGAGGTGTCACTGGTTACCAGGTCTCACAAGTGCTAGGGAACCCCCTAATGGGCTTTATTCCCTCTCCCTATTTCCCAACAGAGGACACCTATGAGAGACGCATCATGGTGGATAAAGAGGAAGTGACTCTAGTTGTTTATGACATCTGGGAACAGGTGAGAATTAAGATGTGACTGCAAGCAAGTGATGAAGCTGAGAGAACTGGGGAAGGGCAAAGTCTGGTGGAACTGCAGGCTCTGGTTTCAAAATGTATTAGAACCTGTTCTTTCATTTGTATCATCGCAGAGAGCAATGGCCCACAGCAATGTGGATACCACGGCCTGTGGCCATAAAAGCCATAGTCTTTCCAAGATCTTCTGACCCCAAGGAAACTTAGGATCCGAATTTGACAAATCCTGCAGCTGCAAGCCAGGCTGAACACCCTGAAATTGACCCCATCCATAAATTTTTCAGCCTAGAAGAGTCTGATATGACACGACCAAGACTCAGGGCTCTGGAATATCAGGAAAGGGGGGAAAAAGTGAGGACTTCTTTTTTTTTTTATTTCGGCATATTATGGGGGTACAGATTTTAAGGTTTCAATAAATGCCCATTTCCCCCCCCCAGGACTTCTTAATATTTGGACATAAAAGTTACTATGTAGAACCGAGTAGTCAAATTACATATACTTTCATAGCATTCATTTTTTAATCAACAGCTTAAGCATAAAAAAGTAGGATGGCTACCCTAGTCTAGGAGCTTATATCCCCAGTTCCCCCAGGTGCGGCTCACATTACTAACTTCTCCCTCCTCCACAAACATGGGCTGGGTGCAGTGGTTCACACCTGTAATCCCAGCATTTTGGGAGGCCGAGGTGGGAGGATTGCTTTGAGGCCAGCAGTTCCAGAGCAGCCTGGACAATGCAGCAGGATCCCTGCCTCTACAAATAAGAAAAAAAAAATTAGCTGGGCTTGGTGGTGCACCTGTAGTCCCTGCTATTTGGGAGGCTAATGCAGAAGGATAGCTTAAAGTCCAGGAGTTAGAGTGAACCTTAATCACACCACTGCATTCCAGCCTTGGCAAAAGAGTAAGACACTGTCTCAAAAAAAAAAAAAAAAAGGCATGGAATTCTGCCATTAATTAGCTCTGCTATCCTAAGTAGATACCTTCCTTCTCCCTCACAGCCCTCATCTTTGTGGTGTAGATGTTGGACAGGATCTGCCAGTACATACCTACTCCTCAGAAGCTAGGCAGCAGCTTCAGCTTTTTACCGGCTCTGCCCCTCCTGGGTGTGGGGAGGCACCCCTCTCCTACACTTCCGGCCCTAACATTCCACGACTCTCTCTGCCTATCTGCAGGGAGATGCTGGAGGGTGGCTGCGGGACCACTGCCTTCAGACCGGAGACGCCTTTCTCATAGTCTTCTCAGTCACTGACCGCCGAAGCTTCTCCAAAGTTCCAGAGACCCTACTTCGTCTTCGGGCTGGGAGGCCGCACCACGATCTCCCTGTCATCCTCGTTGGTAACAAGAGTGACCTGGCTCGTTCCCGAGAAGTATCACTGGAGGGTGTGTATTCTGAACCAATTCCATACTGGCAATCTCAGGGGAAAGCTTTCCCTTCCAGGTCACCTTTTCTCCCTAAGGCCTTTTTACCCTCACAAGCTATACTCACTTGCACTTAGCCCCAGGCTAACCCCCAATTACCCCACTCCCAAGACCATGAGAATCTCTTCTCTTCACTCCCCCGCACCTCTCCTCAAGGCCCCTTTGTCCCTCTCCTTCTCATCTCTACCGACCCACCTTGTGATCTCAGCCTTGATCTCTGTTTCGAGATTCACTAGTCCCAGTCCCTTTCCACCGCCCGTCCGGGACCTCCCCAGGCCCACCCTTCTCCCCGGGCCCAGTGCGGCCCAGTGGGCGCCTGAGCCGGTGCCTTCCTGCAGAGGGCCGCCACCTGGCCGGGACGCTGAGCTGCAAGCACATCGAGACGTCGGCCGCGCTGCACCACAACACGCGGGAGCTCTTCGAGGGCGCCGTGCGCCAGATCCGGCTGCGGCGGGGCCGGAGCCGCGCCGGAGGCCAGCGGCAGGAGCGGGGCAGCCCCGAAGGCCCTGCGCCGTCCGCGCGCCGCGAGAGCCTCACCAAGAAGGCCAAGCGCTTCCTCGCCAACCTGGTGCCGCGCAACGCCAAGTTCTTCAAGCAGCGCTCCAGGTCGTGTCACGACCTCTCCGTGCTCTGAGCCGCGGTCGCCATGGCCACTGCGGTCGCCATGGTCACCGCGCCCTTCGTCCGCCCCCTCGCCCCGCCCTGTCCCATCCGGCTTCCTCAGTCGAGGCCGTCTAGGAAACCAAAAACTCCCAAGATGCCCCGGTGTGGCTGCGGGGGCGGGCCCAGGCTGGTGGGCGGTGTCCTTCTGACACCTCCGGGCCCCGCGGCGCCCAGGCGGTGAGGACGCAAACTTTGGGGCGGGCGTGCTGCGACCGGTGGGCGGGGTGGGTTCTGGCGGTTCAGGAAGGAAAATAGTTCTGCAAAAGGTATTTTGTTTCTTATTAATGCACGTTTGGCCACCTCTGCTGTAAAGAGATCCTAAAAGCGAGAATTGGAAAAGTGCTGTGTAGACTTCTTGGTGGAGTTTATCTCCTTTGTACGCTGCGTGAATATGCCTCACCTTTAAGAAATTCTTAAAGGTATAGTCGTGGAGACACTTCCAGAGACTTTGCAGAAAACATTCTGGCTTTTATCTGCCACTCTTGTCCACTTTGCCTTTAAGGAGTTCTTAAAGGCAAGGGCCTGGAAGCGCTGTCCTTGAGATTTGATTCTGTGACTTACCATTTCAGGACGGCACTTCCCCTTTAAGGTTATTAAAGGTAAGGTGTGGACAGACTTTCTGCGCTCAGATGCCGGCAAATGCCGGCCTGAAGAGCTGAGTGGTGGCAACCCCCTTTGGCCAGGGCCCAGGAGGCACCAGCAAGGGGCCACCTCTTCCCTTTTCAATAAAGAATTTTTCTACTGCATCTATTCACTTTGTTCTCTGAATCCCTGGGGAAGGGCTGGCTGTCGATGGAAACTGCTGTTACAGACGAGGAAACAGGCCCAGAGGAGCTAGGAACCTAATTGTCCAAGGCTGTGGAACTGACTTGGTCCTGAGGTCGTGCATGTAAAAGGGCCACTGGCCCTTACAGATGACAGGTCCACTTCGTGCATTTGATGGTGAGAAAACAGGTCTGGAGAGGAAAAGGAACCTGCTAGAAGTAATCTGTAACTTACTGGCACAGTGGGCCCAAGTCTTCAGACTCTGGGTCCCATCTCCTTACCTACCCTATCCCGCAGGAAACAGGCTGGAGGCTACATTTAGCTCCCAGAGCTACTCAACTTTGACTTGGGTTGGTTCAAGATGGGGCCTGTATCCACCAGGGAGGCACATCAGCTGGGGCATGATGGGGTCTCTCTGCATCTTCTCTGGCAGGGCCCCACAGCCCCAGCTGTCACCTGCAAAGCCCGTGTGAGTACTGAAGCTGTCACAGCCTCCCCTGGGGACGCCCACGCCTGCTGCTGCCTGAGCCATAAGCCTGAACAAAGGGAGCAGAGGCAGCAGCTCCCATCACCCCTAGACATACAGTACAGCTTCCTGAGCACCTGAGGGCCAGGCCTCCACCCTCCCCCACACATTCTTCCAGAACTTGATGGAAAGCAGAATGAGATGTTTCCTGAGTCCTTGTGGCTGGGCAGAATTCAAGGGGGACCAGCCTAGTACGAGTGGTTATGATAATATGAATAATGGTACTATCCTTAGGGATTTATACCCTTTATCTGTTAATTCTTTAAAGACTATATAAGCTGTTACTATTTTACAGTAGAAGAATCAGAGTGTAAGTAATTTGCCTGAGGTCACCCAGTAAGCAACAGTGCTGGGATTCCACTCACGTCTGCTTGATAATGGTGATTTTATCCAGCTTTGCATCTGAGGCTCTGCTTCCAATAAGGGTGGGGGGAAGAGGAAGAAGGGCAGCAGAAGAGATGCAGGGACACAATGAGCAGGGCCATGTGCAGTGGCTATGGTGAAAGGTCCAGAGAAATTACATGGTTATAGTGGAGTAAGCAAGTTCTAAACTCTGGGGACCATGAACAGAGGCAGTTCAAAATTTAAAATGCAGGAAAACACATTGGGCCCATTAAGGGACCAGATGGTTCTACAGTTGGGTTGAAACCTCAGGGACATGAAGAGGAGGGGTAAGAGATGAACATGAAAAAGAGGGTTTGGATCTCCACTGCAAAGGACCTTAAATGCCAGGCAAAGGAGTTTGAGCCCAATTCTGTAGGCAGTGAGAGTCACTGAAGGTCTCTGTATGTGGAAGTGACATAATTAGAATGGTTCTTTGGGAAAAGGTAGCTAGATGTGCATGGGTTGGAGAAGCAGAGGCAAGGCCCAAGGAGCTGAGTTTAGGGGCCAGTAACATTAATATATATGGACAGTAAACTATCCTAAGGGGATGACAGTGGGAAAGGAGAGGAGGCAGGGACTTGAGGGTCGGAATCAATGGGCCTTGGTCACCAAGTGGATGGGTATAAAGAGATAGAAGACCTGCAGGTGGAGGGAGGATGGTGAAGAACCAGGAATTAGAGGGCAGAGGAGATGGAGGAGGGGGTAAGTGAGTTCCATTTTGGAGACACCTAGTTTGAGACACTAAAAGAATATCCATACAGAGTTGCAGCAGCTCCCTGGACAGCTGAGTCTGAAATTGGGAACAAGTTGTGGCAAGAGACAGATATGAAACCAATGTCATGAAGACAGTAGTGAAAGAGCCAGGGGAAAGAATAAGATACAGGGCTGGCTTTATGGATGATGTCTCTTGAGTCTTTGTGTGTCTGTATGCCCTTACCAGTCCCTGCAGTCACACAGGGCCCCATGCTTTAGTCTAATGCTCTGCTGTCGCTGTCTTGAAATTCTCTGAACAAGGAACCCTGCAGTTTCATTCTACATGGGAACTCACAAATTATACTAAGGGAGAGGGTACAGTACAGGCTGGGATCCTTAGCCCCAGACCACAGGTCTGTGATACTTGTGAAATGATATATACAGTTTGATGTGTTTGTAGTCATGCATTTGCCTAAGAATAGGATTCACGAATTTAATCAGATTCACAAAAGTATCTGTGACCCAAAAAATTACAAACCATTGATGGTACTGGTTGCCTCTGGGAAGGGGAACTAGGTGGGTAGAAGACAGGTGTGGGAGGTTTACTTTTCATTGTATACCCTTTTTCTACATTTTGAATTTTTTTTTGAGACAGAGTCTCACTTTGTTGCCCAGGCTAGAGTGAGTGCCGTGGCGTCAGCCTAGCTCACAGCAACCTCAAACTCCTGGACTCAAGCAATCCTCCTGTCTCAGCCTCCCAAGTAGCTGGGACTACAGATATGCGCCCCCATGCCCGGCTCATTTTTTCTATATATATATTAGTTGGCCAATTAATTTCTTTCTATTTATAGTAGAGGCGGGGTGTCGCTCTTGCTCAGGCTGGTTTCGAACTCCTGACCTCAAGCAATCCGCCCACCTCAGCCTCCCAGAGTGCTAGGATTATAGGCGTGAGCCACCGCACCCGGCCTTACATTTTGAATTTTTAACTATGTCATATATTACCTGTTCAAAAACTAAATAAAATAATTTAAAACAAAATGGCAGGGTTCCAGGGAAAGAAGAGGGACCAAGGAGAGTCCTGGGGATAGACAGATGAAGAAGATGGAGAAGCAGCCACCAAAGATGTAGGTGGAAGAACTAGGATTGAGCATGTTGTGGCTACTACAGGGAGGAGGGGGGGGGTTAGTTAATAGAAATAGGGTATCACCAATGGTTAAATGTGGCCACAGAGAGAGGATGAGGAACAAGAAAGGCCCAATGCCCTTCATGGCAGAAGCTTAAAGTATGTATATATTGAAGATAACGATGGCAGGACCTCCCCCATGAGGGGAGCCACACACCACAAGCCTCCCTTCCCCCAGCTCAGCCAGTCCCATCAGTACGACCCATCTGTGTGTTCCCTCCAGACGCCTACAGGGAAGAACTCAGAACAGACTGAAGCCGAAGCCAGGCTCCCGCCAGACTTGGAAGAGGTGGGGTCTTCTCTGAGAGCCAGGCCATCCTTCTTCCCTCTAATCAAGGAAAAGTGGAGCCATTGATCTGAGCTGAAGGAAAGAGGACAGCAAAGGGCTCTGGGGCCTGAGGTAAGGTTCCCTCTGCTCTTTTTTTTTTTTTTTTTTTTGAGTCAGAGTCTCTCTTTGTTGCCCAGGTTAGAGTGAATGCCGTGGTGTCAGTCTAGCTCACAGCAACCTCAAACTCCTGGGCTCAAGCAATCCTCCTGCCTCAGCCTCCCGAGTAGCTGGGACTACAGGCATGTGCCACCATGCCTGGCTCATTTTTTCTATATATATTAGTTGGCCCATTAATTCCTATTTTTTTTTTAATAGTAGAGATGGGGTCTCGCTCAGGCTGGTTTTGAACTCCTGACCTTGAGCAATCCGCCCACCTCAGCCTCCTAGAGTGCTAGGATTACAGGCGTGAGCCACCGCACCCGGCCCTCATGCTCCTCTTGACCACTGTAGTTTTGTCTTGGGGTCTGTATTCCCTTACCAGCCCCTGCTACCCTCACCCCCCCTTGCCCACAATGCCCCTTATTGGCCCTGAGCATAGACTGTGCTCTCCCTGAGGGCCAGAGGAGAGAGCAGTCCAGTGTCTGGGAAAGTATATCCTCTCTGGGCCTCTACCTACAGTTGAGTCTTTAAGTCCTGCTGCATCTAACCCTCTCTAGAGAGAGACTGGAGCAGGGGCTCTCCTCTTCTGAAAGGCTGCCAGGGTTCTAAGTGGAAGTCTTCTGGGTTAAAGCCTCACACCCAGGAAGGCCACACACACACACACACACACACACCTTTTTACTCATCTAACATTTCAATCTACACTAATCTAAGTAAATTTTTCCTGGACATATTTTTTTTTTTTTGAGACAGAGTCTTGCTTTGTTGCCCAGGCAAGAGTGCCGTGGCATCAGCCTAGCTCATAGCAACCTCAATCTCCTGGGCTCAAGTAATCCTGCTGCCTCACCCTCCCAAGTAGCTGGGACTACAGGCATGCGCCACCATGCCTGGCTAATTTTTTTCTATATATATTAGTTGGCCAATTAATTTCTTTCTATTTATAGTAGAGATGGGGTCTCGCTCTTGCTCAGGCTGGTTTCAAACTCCTGACCTCAAGCAATCTACCGGCCTCAGCCTCCCAGAGTGCTAGGATTACAGGCATGAGCCACTGGGCCTGCCCGGTCTTTTTTTTTTTTTTGAGACAGAGTCTCACTCTGTTGCCTAGGCTAGAGTGAGTGCCATGGCATCAGCCTAGCTCACAGCAACCTCAAACTCCTGGGCTCAAGCGATCCTTCTGCCTCAGCCTTCCGAGTAGCTGGACTACAGGCATGTGCCACCATGCCCTGCTCATTTTTTCTGTATATTTTTAGCTGTCCAATTAATTTCTTTCTATTTTTAGTAGAGACAGGTCTCACTCTTGCTCAGGCTGGTCTTGAACTCCTGAGCTCAAAGGATCTGCCCGCCTTGGCCTCCCAGAGTGCTAGGATTACAGGTGTGAACCACTGTGCCCGGTCAACATTTTAATCTTTCATCTACAAATGCTTGAAGACATTTTGTTCCCTTCAAGTACTAAATATCAACAATATGCCAAACATCTGGACCCTGTGGGGAAAACAAATACATATACCTCTGCCCCTCAAGTAGCTTATAATTAAGCTGGGGAGACATGATAAAGTGGTGCCAGTGCTAAAACAGGCAAAATAGCAGAAAACTATACCACATTCTGGTGGGATACAGCACGTGCTCTCGGAATTCTGAAAGGAAGAAGCAATAAATTTGGAAGACATATTTTAGAATTTGGGCCTTGAAGGCTATGTAGGCTATAGATGGGGGAAAGAAGGAAAAACATTCCTTGTGGGGTAACTACATGGGCAAATGCACAGAGGAG